GAGAGGGGGGTGAAAAAGGAGAAGGGGGGGTGAGAGAGGGGGTGAGAGAGGAGAAAGGGGGGGTGAGAAAGGAGGGAGGGTGAGAAAGAGGAGAAAGGGGGGGGTGAGAAAGGAGGTGTGAAAGAGAAAGGAGGTGTGAAAGAGAAAGGAGGTGTGAAAGAGAAAGGAGGTCAGAAAGAGAAAGGAGGGGGAAGAGAAAGGAGGGGGAGAGGAAGAGAAAGGAGGGGGAGAGGAAGAGAAAGGAGAGGGGTGAGAGAAAGGAGAGGGGGGGCGAGAGAGAAATTAGGAGGGAGGGAGAGATATTAGGAGGGGGGAAATAGAAATTAGGGGGGAGAGAAATTGAAATTAGGAGGGGGGTAGAGAAATTGAAATTAGGAGGGGGGTAGAGAAATTAGGAGGGGGGAAGAGATATTAGGAGGGGGGAAAGAGAAATTAGGAGGGGGGGTGAGAGAGAAATTGGGAGGAGGAGAAGGAAATTGGAGCGGGAGGAGAGATTGACATTCATCACATACACACAATGCACCCCTTGCACACAGAAAAACACACAATGCATTCATTACACACACTCAATGCACCCCTTACACACATTCAATGCATCCCATACATACCAGCCCTTACACATACAAACACAATTTCACACACTGCATTCCTTACACACATATCAGGACATCCCCTACACACGCCACCCCCTGTGAACAAACTCATTGGTGGAACATGAAGGTGGACCCTGGGACCCAGACCTTGAGCTGTGTAAAGGACCCCAAAAAATGGAGCTGCTTCCCGTTCTCCCAGAACATTGATTTTTGTGACCACAGTTACAAACCGCCTCCAGAGAGCCTGTTCTGCACCAGACCAGTGGAGCCAGACTGCAGCTAGAGCTCATCATCATCCTCATCTGGTTGTAAGTAGGCAATCTAGTATATTATTCGTGGCACTAAGCTCTAATTTACCTCACATTAAAGAAACACTATAGTCCCCAGAACCACTTCAGCTTAATGTAGTGGTTCTGGTGTCTATAGCCTGTCCTTGCAGGCCTTTTAATGTAAACACGGCGGCACTGCAGCACTGGCGTTAGTTAACATGGAAAATCATATGGGTGGGGCATTGTGATGTCACATGGGGGGGGGGCGGCAAACTTTACTTTTGCCTAGGGCGGCAAAAATCCTTGCACCGGCCCTGGCTGGAGGGGGCTGTGTGAGCTGTGGCCGCACAGTGTCCCATGGTAGTTAGGGTGCCGTGCGGCCAGTACAGCTCACACAAGCAAACAGCTGATAAACTGGCCGCACGGAGGAAATGTGTATGTGTGACTGTCTGTGTATGTGTGACTGTCTGCCTGTGACTGTATGTGACTGTCTGCCTGTAACTGAGTGTGTGACTGTCTGTAACTGAGTGTGTGACTGTCTGCCTGTAAATGTGTGTGTGGGGCTGCAGGGATTTTGTAGAAGGGGGCGGGGGTTTTGTATTGGGACAGGAGTCTTTACAAATTGTAAGAAAAAAAAAGAGAACCTTTAAATTTTTTTACAGGTTTTTTTTTTGGGAGGGGGGGGTGCAAGCACAGGATCCGCCCGGGTGCCAAATGCTCTAGGTACGCCCCTGCCCACAATTAGGATGTATTGGTCTAAAAATCCAATTTTTTCCAGACAATGAGTAGGGACAGATATGAAGACCTACTGCGATTTAAGCACTGTAGTGACAATATGAAGTGCTCCCCAAAATGTCATCCGCAGTGTGATCTTCTATATAAAATACACCCTCTAAGTGCCCACTTTAATCCCTTAAATACACATGATGGATATATTCCATCATGATTCCCTTTTATTTCAGACGTTGTGTCCTTAAGCGGTTAATGAAAATTTTGCCACAATTTATACCCCAAAAAAACATTTCTATTGATGAATCCCTCATGAAGTTTAAGGGAAATACATCCCATCCAAAACATCCCGATATTGGATGAAATTTGATAAATTGTGTGAAAGTGGAAGCGGCTATGTGTAAACCTTCTGTGTATATAAAGGAAGGGATAGCCACCTTGATTCCCCAGGTTGCCCAGATATACTAGGGACAAGTGGGAAAATTGTCTGGGACTTAATAACGCCATTACTAAACAAGGGATATCATTTGTCTATTGATAATTTTTATAATAATATCACCACTTCTAAAAATGCTGTACTGCTTCGAGACTGTGGCCTGTGGCACTATTCGGAAGAGCTGCACAGGTTTCTCAAATGCTCTAGAGGGAAAAAAATAAAAGGGGGGGAAACAGCAGCTCTCTACCAGAATGAACTGCTGGCACTCAAGTACCGTGATAAAAAGGAGGTTTTCATCCTAACCACCATCCATGGTGAAAGCCCTCATAGGGTGGCAGAGAGGAATTTAAACAGGTGCCAGTTTGCATACAGCATTACATAGAAACATAGAATGTGACGGCAGATAAGAACCATTTGGCCCATCTAGGCTGCCCAATTTTTTTTTAAATACTTTCATTATTCCCTGGCCTTATCTTATAGTTAGAATAGCCTTATGCGTATCTCACACATGCTTAACCCCTTAAGGACACATGATGTGTAACATGTCATGATTCCCTTTTATTCCAGAAGTTTGGTCCTTAAGGGGTTAAACTCCTTTACTGTGTTAACCTCTACCACTTTAGTTGGAAGGCTATTCCATGCATACTCTACCCTCTCCGTAAAGTAATACTTCCTGATATTATTTTTAAACCTTTGCCCCTCTACTTTAAGACTATGATCCTACGCTAAGGTTTAAAATATTCCTTTTGAAATACCCTGGTGTGTCTGCTTTAAGAAATGGTAGGCCTTTGTGGGGTAGTTTGAACTTAAAACCTGCTAAGATGCTCGAAACTTGCACGTGGGCGCAGCGTCAAAATTCAAAGTTTGGTAAAAACTGATATGGCTTAGTCTCCAATGTGCCCCTTCAACAGCCACATATTCCTGAAAAAGGTACACATGAGGGTATTGTTGTACTAAGACGACATAGCTGAGCAACATATTAGGTGTTATACTGCTATAGCACACATAAACGCAAAATATACAGTAACATCTCCAAGTGTGTGTCAAAAAGGCAGAAAAAATGCTAATTGCTACTAGCCTTGGTACAAACTTGCAAAAAAAATGACCCTACGCTAAGGTTTAAAATATGCGTTTTTAAATACCCTGGTGTGTCTACTTTAAGAAATGGTAGGCCTTTGTGGGGGGGTTTTAACAGTCAAACTGCTATAATGCCCTAAATTGAAACATGGGCCCATCAAATCCGTCTTTCAAAATTCTACTGTAAATACTGAAATGGACAGGTCTCCTACATGGCACTGTAGCTTCACAAAATAGTGCCAAATACATACAATAGGGGTATCGTTGTACTTAGCAGATGTAGCTGAACACAAAATAAAGTACAGGAATAGCACACACCAGCTTTACAAAATACACATGAGAAGTTCTTTGTTATAAGTTTGTGTGTCAAAAAACACTCCAATATTTAGCAGAAATAGGCGGCGAAATTGCTATGTAAAAAGTGTCAAAATAACCTTAGGTAAATAGCCTGTGATGTCTACTTTTTATAAATATATACTTTTGTGTGTCAATTTTGTTTTCTTTTATGGCTATTAAGCTTACAAGACAAACATACCAAATTCTAAAATCGCTCCACATTAAAGGTTTATTTTACTCCCAGTGTTTTGTGACCTTTAACTGCCAAAAAAAACTTTAATTCCTAGACATTAAATATTCTGTAAATCAGAACAAATAAATTAATTTATTTTTAATTACCTTCCTTAACCTGCACTAATTATACACACGTTGCAATTTCTTTTTGCCTTTTTATGAATTTTTTTAATATTAAATACACATTTTTATATATATATATATATATGTGTGTGTGTTATGATTCAATAGTGGTAGACAGAAAATTGTGGAACACAACTGCAGAATTAATTGGTAGTACTATACATTAAGAAAAACAAAGAGAACTTCCAATATGTATTTTGAGAGGTTTTATTATCTCTTATTGAATCAAGTTAAAGACAATGCATCTCTAATTTCCAGTTTTGACATAATGGGAAAAAAATATTTTTTATGCAATTCTCTTGTTTGCATTAAAAGGAAAAAAATAATAATAATGTCTTCATTTATACAAATAGGGTTTTAGAATCAATTCATAATTAGAGTGAATGAATTGCATAGGGAATTGATTATCCTTATATGCAGGTTGCAGCTATATTTAAACTTGATATGTGGCACAATGAAATTGATTATCCTTATATGCAGGTTGCAGCAATACATAGATTAGGTAGAAGTGATACTTAAAGGACCACTATAGTGCCCTGAGGGTGCCCCCACCCTCAAGAAGTAGAATGTATGAAGTTCCTTTTGATAAAGGAGTCCTTGTAGATTATAGATACTAAAAAGAACAAGGTGAACGAGGTTTGTAGCAACAAAACAAAGGAGCTCAGAGTGGAGTCCGAGGTCGGGTCAAAATAAGCAATTTGAGTTTGGTGCGGCTTGCCTATAAGACAAGTGAGTAGAGAGTCATCATAATGGGAGGAGCTTACTTCCGGACGCGGAAGTAACTTCGGGGGAGCTGAGTCACGGTAATTAGATGACATATATATATATATATATATATATATATATATATATATATATATAAATAAATAGTAAATCTGGCACTCAATCCTCAAGTAGTAAACAAAAAAAAACTTACACCAAGGTGCTGCTCTGCGCTGAGTATATGAAATAGAATAAAGATGAGAGCACTTAATGGATTTCCAAATAAAAAATTTAGAATGTTGCCAATATGGCTCAACGTTTCGACTGAGCAGGTCTTTATCATGAGTGCCCTCATCTTTATTATATTTTATATATGTGTGTGTATATATATATATATATATATATATATATATATATAAAGCAAAAAGGAAAGAGATGCACTCTCAGGTCTTTGTAAAAAAAACTCGATATTATTTAATAACAGGTAACATACATCTGATCCGATGTATGTTACCTGTTATTAAATAATATCGAGTTTTTTAACAAAGACCTGAGAGTGCATCTCTTTCCTTTTTGCTTTACATATCCAGCGTGGGATTGCACCAAGGCAGTCTTTTACTGATTCATTGAAAGGGTGAGTGCCACTATACTTGTATGTATGTATGTATGTATATATATATATATATATATATATATATATATATATATATATATATATATATATGTGTGTGTGTTACATCAAATTAAAGCCCTTTTGGTCCTTTAAAAAACAGTATATAATATGTGTTGGTGCAATAAATTGGTAAAATGCAAATTGCAGGGGCCGGAACAGCCAGCTCCCCCTGCGGCCGCCAGCACACCTGACCCAGCTGTCTGCCCGGCAAGACTCCTTTCCAGTCGCCCACAGGTAGCTATATTATGTGTCAGTCTATCAGTGTGTGTGTGTGTGTGTGTGTGTCTGTGTCATGGTGTGTGTGTCATGATCTATGTCTGTCTGTCATAGTGTGTGTCAGTCTGTCATGGTACGTGTGTGTGTGTGTGTCATGGAGTGTGTGTGTCTGTGTCATGGTGTGTGTGTGTGCTTGTGTCTGTCTGTTTCAAGGTGTATGTGTCTGTGTCATGGTGTGTGTGTATGTCATGGTCTGTCTGTGTCATGGTGTGTGTGTGTGTGTCTGTCAAGGTATATGTGTGTGTTTAAAAATAGTGTTTTTACTCACCTTTTTTTTCCCCAAACCGTGCTGCGGGGCTGACATAGATTTTTTTTTTCCAGGGCTGCATTGTATCCCCAATCTGGCCCTGCACACACACCCTTCTACTGTTAGTAAATAATCAAGGGCCAACCTATTTTGATAAATGGCTGACCTCATACAGGTATTTAATTTTGCCAGGAGGTTAAGGGCTTTAGTTGTCTCACTGGTTATGATCTCAACCACCACCTGTAATCTTATGTTATGATTGAGCATGTATATGGGGGTTCGATAACCATAAGTGCCATCTTCAGCCTACGTAGCAGGTCCATAGTAATTAATAATTCGCTGGGGTGGCCATTCATCAGATTCCCAGTTACCTATATTTAATGATGCTCATTTTCTCTTATGATTTGTATCTACACCTTGACTCCTAAAGCCTCTCCTGTTTGATTTGGCAACAAAAAGAAAGATGGGTTGAGCATACCTAGCACACATGCCCCTGCCCAGTCTTGTGGTAATTCCAAATAGGCCTTCTTACCACAAATCCAATATAAATTAGCTGGGGCTCTCCAGTTAGAAGTAGCCTGTAGCGGATGGCAGGAGGCTGTCCACACAGGGTTGTGTTAAAATTGTGATTCGTGTGTTTATTTTCCTGTATAGATAGATTGGATGTGGCATTCGTATGATTGTTCGGTAGTTTTCATCCGTATTCCATACGAATGAAAACTACCGAACCAGTAGACCACCCCAGAGAGAAGTGTGCACCTTATTAGGCTTTCACACTTCTCTAACCGCAAGTTAATTGGGGCAATCTGTACATTGTATGCGTATCTGGGTGGCCGCCGTTCGGCAGACGAACACATGGCGGCGGCCATCTTACGCACGAAACCTCGGCGGTGTTTGGTCGTCGAGTGTCTGGAACTCAAATCAGACACTCGATCACCCGAACATCGCTGAGACCTCCAGAGCTCCGTAACTCCCGAACTAAAAGTACCGAACAAGGGTATTCATGCGAATACCGATTTAATGGTGGATGACAAGTATTTCTATGTGTTTTATCTCCCGAATGGAGACCGACCACAGGGCCAAAACACATGGAACCCTTTTCGGCTACCACCTCGTGTGCGGTCGGTAAAATTGTCTCTTCCACCTAACTCCCGAACCCCTGGTCCAATCTGGGTGAATTTTGAATATGTTGGTCACCCAGATCAGGTACCACTTAGATAATTGTACCTGACTGTTTTGGGGTACATCCAGAAACAGGGTAAAACTGTAGCATGTATAAGTGGATTATGTGTCACACTGAGGGGAGGAGATGTATGGGAGGTAACTATTGTACTATTGGCCACTGTACAAATTAATGTGAATCCCTCCCTTGCATGGGAGAAACCTTTAAAAGGAATGTGTGTGATTAAAAGTTCAGTTCTGCTCCTGATGCTGTGTGTCGTCCAGTCATTGGGATTGATGTGGGGATATTATTGGATTGTCTTGTCTGCTGGAATTATTGCCATATGGATTTCTAGTACTTGTTCCTGAGCCTCACTGGGATCTTAAGTGGAGATAACCTGTGGAATAGCAGCTCTCCGCTACATTGGTGGTAGCGGTGGGATCCAGACTCACAAAGGAACAAGGACTAATGGAGTACGGATGGAGATTGATTATTCTAAGCTGAAAAGATCCACGCTAAAAGACCTACTAGAAGCAAGAGGTATTGCAGCAAGCAATAAAACAAAAGCAATTCTCATTGCAGAGGTCATGGCAGAATACCGAACCGATGGCAGTGCAATCACCGAACAGAGAAATTCGGCGGATGGATTGGAACAAGAGGAATTCCAAAGGCAACTACAATTTAGGCTGGCCTTCAAGGGGGAAAATCCAACGGCAGATATTATCGCCAGGACTATGACAGAAGTGCAGGAATTTATAATACGCCAAAGACCACCACAGACAGGAACACAGTAACTACCACCAACACAGAGGGTAAGACAAAAATACCTTACCAAGCTTTTAAAACTTATGTGGAGGCAGAGGAAGACATAGATGCATTCCTCCAAGATTTTGAGAGACTATGTGCACTACATAAGATTTGTCCAGAAGAGTGGGTACCCATTTTAGCAGGTCGGCTAACTGGGAGGGCAACTGAGGCCTACAGAACTGTACCAGATGAGGAAATTCGGAACCACCACCGGGTAAAAGAAGTAATTCTGGCCCGATATGCCATCACACCAGAGGCATACCGGAGGCGGTTCAGAGAGCTGAAAAAGAACGACAAGGACTCCCATGTTGAATGGGCTTGCAGGCTGCACAGGGCCGCCCTCGGATGGGTACAGGCAAACAAGGCTCGGTCCATGGAGGACCTATTACAAATGTTGCTATTAGAACAATTTTATGATGGGGTCCAGACAGATGTCCAGGAATGGGTAAGGGACTGCAATCCAACCTCCCTCACAGAGGCAGCTAAGAAAGCGGACGACTACCTGGTTGCCCGCAGGCAGCAAAAACCTGCACCCACCAAAACAGTGATTCGACCCTTAGGGGGAAGCAGTCAACCCCCCAGCACAGCAAAACCACCCCGACACCTACCTCCTTATCCACCAGCCGCGACGCAACAGAGCTTCCGGCCACCCTGTTCTGTGCAATGCCACCAGTGCCAGAGGTGGGGACACTGCAAACGGGATTGTCCCCAACAAAGAGACCGCTCCACCTGGGTCCAACCAGGTCTTCCTCCACCACCTCGAGCAGCAGCTCACTGCTATCAAACTGAGACACCACCTCCATATGGCTCGGCAATCCCTATCAATACCGTGGAACAATGGGAAGTGTTACACGAAGCGGATCCCCTCCAAGCGAATGCAGACAATCGCCAACATCACGTCAAACTGTCTACCTGGAGGGGAAAATGGTACAAGGGCTCCGCGACTCTGGGGCCACTATAACTCTGGTCAAAAGCCACCTCGTATCCGATCCAGCCAAGACTAGCCGAACTGTAGCAGTCAGGGTAGCTGGGGGAGCATTATACCGGCTACCTACAGCCCGGGTACATTTGCATTGGGGAGCGGGGTCTGGAAATGTGGAAGTGGGGTTAATGCCACAATTGCTGGCGGAGGTTTTGCTGGGGAATGATCTGGGCAGACTCACCTCTGCTTTTGAGCCCCAGGCACCAGCAACCGGAGAAGCACACTGTAATAAATGGGGGGATGTGATTAACAGCCAAACTGTATGCCAATGAAGTGTTATTGTGTTCTAATACAGGGATTCAAGCCCCCATTCTACCCTTAGGCAATAATGGAGTCCTCTGTGAAGCACATAGCCTTTCACTAGGCAAAATCAGTTGGGTTGTTGATAAACTCCTCCTCCCTTCCCTTCCAATGCAATCCCCCTTCCCCCAGGAGGCACTCTGGTTCTATTACATCCTAAGGGATTGACTAAGGGAGGTGTGTCCAGCAGAAGGAGGAGCTAACCTGTTTAAAGCCCTGTGAATAGCACATTCTCTCTCTCTTTGAATTACCTCTCTTCACCTTCTCTCTCTCTCTCTCTCTCTCTCTCTCCCCTCTCCCCACTATACACACCCTCTCTCTCTTACTCTCAGCTGCTGATCGATGGAGTGGTAACTGTATCACGTGTCTATGCCTGTTTTACTATGTTAATTTAGCCTACTTTCCATTCAGTCAATGATTAGTTTTAGTAGCAACATATACTAGCCTATTTCAAATGTATATGTATTGTTTATTTGTTTGATTAAGCCTTTATTAATAAATATTATTGAATTGCCGAAAGCAAGAGTGTGGACTCTGAATTTACACTCGGTTTTTAAGTTATTATTTTTAGTTATTAGTTATTAATGTTATTATTAATTCCAAGTTTATTCCAACTTGCAAGTTAAATGTTTATTACACACACCCAGTGGTCACTCGACAACAGGCCCGCACCCAGGACTACAACACACTCCCGGAGGTCCAGGTAAGAGATCCTTCCCCTTCCTTAGAATGTGTCCCCTGGGCCCCACCTACCGAATTTGCGGCCGAGGTGATCACTGACCCCACATTACAGGTCTACAAAGACAAAGTCACCTCGGACCAACCTGGGGGGGAGGGCTAAAGATTTGTATGGGATAAACAGTTACTATATAGGGAGTCTGACAAGCAGGTAGCTGGGTCAGACCCGATAGTCATGAGGCAGCTAGTAGTACCGCAGCGGTACCGATCCGAATTACTCCGGATAGCGCACGATATTCCGCTATCCGGACATTTGGGGGTCAGCCGCACCCGACACCGACTGACGCAAAGTTTCTTTTGGCCGGGAATCAGCCAGGAAGTCCGTAGGTACTGCAGTACTTGTGATACGTGCCAACGGGTAGGGAAGAGGGGGGACCGGCATAAGGCAAAATTGCACCCACACCTATAATTGAGGATCTATTTAGTAGGGTAGCTGTAGATCTAATAGGTCCCCTTCAGAGACCCAGCCCTTCTGATAAAAAGTATATTTTAACAGTGGTGGACTATGCCACCAGATATCCAGAGGCAGTGGCCGTAAGTAACATCCACGCAGAAACAGTGGCTGAGGCCCTGATGCAGAATTTCTCCAGGACGGGGTTACCCAGGGAGATCATCTCGGATCAGGGCACTCAGTTCACTGCGGAAGTCACCCAGCACCTCTGGAAATTCTGTGACATCAAGCCCATAATCAGTGCTTCGTACCATCCCCAGACCAATGGGCTATGCGAATGGTTCAATGGAACATTGAAACAAATGCTCCTAACCTTCGCAGAAACCCATAGGGACTGGGAGCGGTTCCTGCCCCATCTCCTATTCGCTTACCGGGATGTGCCGCAGGAATCGACCGGGTTTTCCCCATTTGAATTATATGGGAGAAGGTTAAGGGGACCCCTTGACCTGATTAGGGAGCACTGGGAGGGAGACCGGAGCGCAGACGGTACCCCCATCATACCCTATGTGCTGGCATTCCGAGATTGTCTAGAAGCCTTGACTAGGTCGGTAAGGGAGAACCTTCAGGCAGCTCAAACTCGCCAGTGCATGTGTTATGTTCGGGCGCCAGGGACTGTAGCTTCCAGGTCAGGCAGAAAGTTTTAATTTTAAAACCTGTCCGACATAAGTTAAAGGCCGCCTGGCAGGGCCCTTATAAAGTGGTGGAACAAAGATGAGATACCACTTATATAATTGGCCCCTGCGCCGGAACTGGAGAGTGACGCATGATTCATGTGAACATGATGAAGCCCTACCAGGAACGTTCAGAGGAGGTGACGGCCATTTGTGCCCCCTCCTCTGAGGAGTTCGACAACCTTCCCCTCCCAGGCTGTCCGGGGATCTAGGAGAAGTTGCGCTGGGAGACCGGTTGAGCCCACAGGAGCGTACTGAGGTACAACAATTACTGAAGGAGAAACAGGATACCTTCTCCAATATACCTGGGTACACCCCTCTGGCCACTCACCGGGTAGAAACCCCAGGGCAACTTCCCATGCGCCAGATGCCTTACCGCATCCCTGAAGCGGTACGGGAGAACATGCGCAAGGAGATCGAAGAGATGTTCCAACTGGAGGTGATTGAGCAGTCAGACAGCCCCTGGGCCTCCCCTGTAGTCCTCGTACTTAAGCGGGACAGTACGACCCGCTTCTGCTTAGACAACCAGAGGTTAAATGAAAAGACAGTGTCGGACGCCTACCCTATGCCCCGGATAGATGAACTGTTAGACTAGATGGCCAGGGGACAATACCTCACGACTATTGATCGTTGTAAGGGGTATTGGCAGATTCCCTTGGCCCCGGACGCCATCCCTAAGTCCGCGTTTGTCATCCCATTCGGCTTGTATCAATTTAAGGTGATGCCATTTGGGATGAAAAACGCACCGGCTACCTTCCAGAGGATGGTGGATCGGCTCCTAGATGGGTTCCAAGATTACACCTGCGCTTACTTAGATGACATTGCCATCTTTAGTAATACCTGGCAGGAACATCTGGCCCACATAGGAGCCGTGCTAGATAGGATCAGGGAAGCAGGATTAACCTTGAAACCTGCTAAATGCAGTATAGGTATGGCTGAGGTATAGTGCCTCGGACACTGAGTAGCCTACATCAGTCGGAAACTGTTACCTAGAGAAGTGAGCTACGCCGCCATCAAGAAGGAGTGCCTGGCTGTGGTGTGGGCCCTAAAGAAGTTACATATTTGTATGGACAGCCCTTTTCGTTACTCACGGATCACAACCTGTTGTTATGGTTAAACCGGGTGGCAGGGGACGCTGGAGTTTGGCGCTGCAGCATTGTGACTTTAACATCCAGTACCGCCCGGGAAAACAGAATGGCAACGCTGACGGGTTGTCCAGACAAACCAACCTTGACAAATGATCCGTGAGCCGCCTGGGCACCCCCAAGCCGATCCGTGTTGGATCAGACTGTGTATGCCGGCTTGTGGGCAAGGGGGAGCAGTGTAGCGGATGGCAGGTGGCTGTCCACACAGGGTTGTGTTAAAATTGTGATAAGTGTGTTTATTTTTTGTTGGGTTGGGTTTGTGGTTAGGGATTAGGTTAGGGGTAAGTTTAGGGGTAGGGTTAGGCTTAGGGAATTGCTGAAGTCCCGATTTTCAGAAGTGCCAAACCGAACCAAATCCTTTGTCCATGCACTTCCCTAGTATCCAGGTACCTGTATTTGGATACAGATCCTTTACATTCATAATAAGAATGAGATGCTGGAATATCTGATTGTCTGTCTTTGTAGTCTTAATACAACTATCACAGCCTTGTACATCAAATGTCTTTGCATTCCATATATAATAAAATACTAACACAGAAAAAGAAATACATTAAAAAAGATGTAATCCAAATCTTCAACCGTGCAACGGAACCTCAGCTTCCCGGTTGTGAGGCCTGCAGGGAATGTCGTCTGTCTGATCCTCTCTTCCCTTCACA